ACTTCATACTACAAGACTACAGTAACCAAAGAGGCTGGTCTTAAACTCCTCAAGCAATCTACCTGTCTCTGCCTCCCAAAGTGTTGGGATTACAGGCATGAGCCACCATTCCCAGCCAAAAAAGAGTTCTGTATGAAGAGGTACCATGATTGGAGAGCTCAGAGCCCTAGCTTGGCCTCTCTCTAGACCCTAGAAAAGGGTTTCCATTTTACCCACTGCTCCAGTGACTTCTAAGTCATCTTAGCCGAAAATTAGGACTCCAATAAATCGATCTTCTGGAAAATGCTAGTTTACAGTGATGGCTTCAACCTCCTCCTTCCCTGCTGTAATGTTGACATGTAGAACACACTCCTATGGTCATATCCAAATCTCATGGGTTAGACACACTGTCAGATGGGCCAGTCTTGGCTAAGCAGTGAAATTCCACCCTTTCTGTTGCATATTATATTGCTAGCTAGTGATAGTATTCCAAAAAAAAGCCTTGCATCCACTTGGACTTGCAGTATAAGTAAATAATTTACAGTCTGCTGTGTTTTTCCCCCTCTAGGGATGAACATGCTTAGATATTATGTGGTGTTACTGAGTTAATGGCTCCTCCTGGACCATGGGTCAGCTCTAAAGGCTCCATCTTTTCCATGCCAAGGGGACTGGATCAATAGGGCTGAGTCTCAAGCAGAATGGATATCATTTCGAGGGCACCAGTCTTGGTCTGTGACCAGGGCTCAGACCCTCTGGAGCAGTTCTGTCTTTGGGTCCTAAGCCTCTGTCTATCAGAATAAGGCCAGCTTCTCACTGTTCCTCTTCCTCAAGGCTGTTCCACCAGGAGTGAGGGAAATCTCATTGCTTTTTCCTCTAAAATTTATATGAGGATTGAGTGGAAGTCTGGTTATCATTGATTCAATTATCTTATTTTACTTAGAGGAACAAGTTGAACATCAGAACGTTCTTCTGGCTGGATATGCTGACTAACACAAAGTTTTTTGCTTTTTTGGTTTTTGGTGTTTATTTATTTATTTTTTTTTGAGATGGAGTCTTGCTCTGTCACACAGTCTGGAATGCAGTGATGCAGTCTGTAACCTTCGCAATCTGGGTTCAAGCGATTCTCCTGCCTCAGCCTTCCAAGTAGCTGGGATTACAGGCACCCACCACCACACCTGGCTAATTTTTGTATTTTTAGTAGAGACGTGGTTTTTACCACGTTAGCCAGGTTGGTCTCGAACTCCTGACCTCAGCTGATCCACCCACTTCTGCCTCCAAAAGTGTTGGGAATACAGATATGAGCCATCGCTCCCAGCCTTACAAAGTTATTTTTTGTTTGCTATTTACTTGAACAAAGAGGATAGTTTCTGTCTGAAATCTAACACACCAGCATGGCCTTTGCTTCATTTTCAAGAGAGAAAAAAACCCAGGGTATTCCTTTTGGGAAACTCCCAATTAAAAGGCTTACACCTGCTTTGCTTTTCTTTCCCCAGTCTCTAAGTTTAGACATTCACAAATAGAATGTTTCAAACTACCCCACACAGTGTGATCACCAGGGATGGCAGTGATGCTCAGAGGATGCCTAGTTATTTTCAGGAGCAGGCCCACCAGCAGGGTGAAACCACTCACATTACCAAGGACTTCCATTACAGGTCTCTTGGAGAGTGAGACCTAGGAATATCGAATGGATCCTCTGACTAGAAGAGTAAGGGAAATCAGAGAGAGAGTAGTAATGATAAAGGAGTCAAGGGTCTTATAGAAAGGGAAAAGGAACAACTAAGGGTTAGATTCCCTGAACCTTTTTTTTTTTTTTTTTTTTTTTTTTTTTTTTTAGGTTTTTTTTTTTTTTTTTTGGTGACAGGGTCTTGCTCTGTTGCTCTGTCGCCAGGGCTTGAGCAGGCAGGATAATAGTTCACTGTAATCTTGAACTCGTGAACTTCTAGGTTCAAGGGATCCTTCCAAATAGCTAAGTCTACAACATATGCCACTATATCCAGCTAAATTTTGTATTTTTCTTTTGTTGAGATGGGGCCTCACTATGTTACCCAGGCTGGTCTCAAACTCCTGGCTTCAAGCAATCCTCCCATCTCAGCTTCCCAAAGTGCTGGGATTACAGGGGTGGGACGCCACACCCAGCCTGAACCCCTTTCTATAGCTAATTGTTGATAAGCATACAGTTTATCACATGTAAGACAGACTTCTCTATAGAATGCTAGAGTTCTCTGTCCACAGTCTAGCGTAGTAAAAAGAATGTTGGAATAAGAATCAGAAGGCCTGCATCTTCATCCTGATTCCATCAATTACTACCTGTGAGAATGTAAATTATTTTCTCTGTAAGTGTAACAGAGATGGATAACACTGCTTGATGCATTTCACCACATGATGCCATGATCGACTGAATCTGGCTATGAAATAATTTTGGAAAATTGTTAAGAACCATGCAACCATATGATACTGCTTTCATCTACTTCACCACAATCACCACTAACATCAAACATTTAGTGAGTGTGTGCTTCATGGAGGGATCTATGCTGGGAAAGAAAATAAATACAAAGATGCAGAAGTAATAGGTATTATTGCTCTAGATGGGTTAACACTGAGTTGAGTTGATGCTTAATTCTTGCTTGTTAGTTGATGTGAAGATGGCATAGCAGTCTTTCTTTCTTTTTTTATTTTTTTGAGAGGGAGTCTTGATTTGTCACCAAGGCTGGAGTGCCGTGGTGTGATCTCAGCTCACTGCAACCTTCGTCTCCCAGGTTCAAGCAATTCTCGGCCTCAGCCTCCTGAAAAGCTGGGATTACATGCGCCTGCCACCATGCCCATCTAATTTTGTATTTTTAGTAAGACAGAGTTTCACCATCTTGGCCAGACTGCTCTTGAACTCCTGACCTCGTTATCCACCCGCCTTGGCCTCCCAAAGTGCTGGGATTACAGGTATGAGCCACCACGCCTAGCCGGCTTAGCATTCTTTCTGCAAGACATTCCAGATGCTGATTTACCTGCTTTGTTTGCAAATTTCATCTCCTACCTGACTTTTCCAGTTGTCTGGAAGGGGCAGGTGGTGGTTGGGGCCTCCGGATTTTTCATTGTAGTAGATATAGGTATTGAGATCAGGGAAGTTGCGGTTCAGATCCACTCCATTTGCATTGTTCCTGCCAACTAGATACCCAAGCTTGTTTGGACCCTAAGGGGAAAATGAAAAGATGAAAAATGAAGGTTTCAGATTGAATCCTATATTTTCTAACTTTTTCTTTTTTTTTTCTTT